CAGCATGGAAACTTTTCCAGGCCAAGTACAATCTGACTTTGACATCTTTTCAACAGGGGGCATTTGGCCACCCAAAACCGAAACCCACCACTTTTGCTCACAATCTACAAGGTTTTGAGGAGTTGGAAGGTGCCAAAGCAGTATATGAAAATCCAGATCATGGCTGGCGAGATCGTCCTCTTGAAGAACGTATTCAAGAATCTGCGACGTGGGCACAGTGGGCTCCAGGGTTGAAGGCTGCCTTGATTGAAGGCTTGAAGAGGCATTTCAAGAGAAGGGATGCTGGGCGCTGTCACATCGGGGCACCGGGCAATGCGGAGGAGGCAACCTGGGACTCTGATGATGATAGCTCAAAGCCCATGCATCAGCAGCCCCAACTCTGTCCCCTGTCCGCAGTTGCATTGACAAAATGGAAAGCTCACATCCTGAACGACCACCAGCCCATGAGAAGAGACTGCAGAGTCTGTGTGGAAGCTGCAGGCCAGTCTCGACATCACCGACGAATCCAACATCCAAGTGCCTATTGTCTTTCAATGGACTTGTCCGGCAAGATGAAGCGTGGCAAAGACCAGTTTGGCTCTGCCGGCGCATACATCCTGATTGGCTGCTACACATTCCCAACTACACTGGATGATGTTCCCCTTTGCGGCCCAGATCAACAACGACCACCAGAGGATGCTCCGCTACCAAGCTTGGGTGAGGTAGTGGATGAAGATGGTGTGGATGGTGATGTGGAGGATGGAGAGCTTCCACGTTTTGAAGCTGACGTGGAGGATCAACCATGTGAGGAGGATGATGCCGCAACTAACCGGGCCAAGACGGCTTTTGACAGCTGGATGAAGTTGGTGGAAGAGCATAAGCAGGTCAAGGTCAAGACTTTGACTTTTGCGGAAGTCATCACCTCAAGAGCTACAGGCCATGTCTTGGAAGGTTTGGCAAAGATATACGCCAAAATCAGGAGCCTGGCACTTCCAGTTCTACGGCTGCATGCCGATAGGGCACGAGAGCTGACATCAAAGGCCATCCAGGCGTGGTGCCACAGTCGCGACATTGTAGCGACATACACCTCTGGCTCTGATTGGAAAAGCAATGGGAGGGCAGAAAATGAGATCGGCATTGTCAAGCGACATGCAAAAATTTTGATGCGGGCGCATAACATCAATGAGGAGCGATGGCCCATCCTTGTGAAGCATGCCGCAGAGCGACGTTTGCGATGGCAACTCCAACAAGTTGGCTATCCTGTGCCTGATCTCTTGCCCTTCTACACCAAGGTTCTGGTCAAACGAAAGTCCTGGAATCAAAGATATGCTGCATGGAGGTGGGAACGTGCCCCTGGCCGTATTTGTGGCCCTGATCCATGGTCATCTCTGACATCAGGTGGGTACTGTGTGCAGCTTGAAGATGGGACTTTCTTGACATCTACAGATGTGGTGGTGGAACAATCAGAACTGGGGGAGGGACTCACATTGGATCTGGTAGTGCAAGAGCGACTTCAAGCTCCTGGTGAACAACAAATTTCTGAAATTCCCAAGCGTCGTTTGCGCTTCAAACAAGGAGTTCCTCAAATGGCTCGCTTGGAGTTGGGTTCCAACTCGGGGGAGAAGGTTGATGTTCAGGCCAAGTGCAACAGCGAGTGTGATCATGTTGAAGTCAAGCGACTTCTCAAAATGCATCAAGAGACTGCAAAGGTCTTGTCTGAGGAATGTGTTCTTGTGGACGACTTGGATCCTGAACAAGCAGCTTGCATCCCAGCGTTGGCAATGTTGGCTAATCAAAAGTTCGATTTGGAACTTCAGCTGCGAGCTCTGGACTTGGAAAAGAAGCACAAGGAGGAGGAAGAGAATTTCTTGGTGACAAAAACCATCACCACTGAGCAGGTCTACAAAGAATGGGATGATTGGAAGTTTGCCATGATGAGCGAATACACATCCATTGTGGAGGAGAAGAAAGCTGTGCGACAAGTGAAAAGATGTGAAGCACAGCGCATGGCAACGGAGAGCAACATCAAGTACGAGGAGCTTCCAAGTAAAGTGGTGTTCACGAGAAAGATGGGTGGAAAAAGGAAGGTGAGAGCATGTATTTGTGGCAACTATGAGAATGAAGTTGCCACTGCCACATATGCTGGAGGTTGTGACGCATCACAGATCCGATGCCTCATTCGTCATGCAGCACTGGAAAAATGGGCCCTGTACGGGACTGACATCAAATGTGCCTTTCTGAATGCGGAGCGCAAAGACCGCACCAAGCTGATTGCCATGTCTATCCCCTACATCTACGTCAAACTTGGACTTGCATCACATCAAGATGTTTGGTTGGTCGATGCTGCTATGTATGGCCTAGTGGCCAGTCCACGTGACTGGTCAGACCATCGAGATGAAACGATTCCGAACATGGTGTGGCAAAGGGAGGAGGATGGCAAGAAATGGAAGGGCACCTTCAAGAGGGCTGCGGATCAACACCTTTGGCATTTACAAGAGGAGTGTCTGGAATCGGGGGAGGTTTGCAAACGTGGTCTCATGGCTATATACGTTGATGATGTTCTCCTTGCTGCAGGAGATCCTATCGCAACTTGCGCTCTCAAAGCAATAGCTGAAGTTTGGGAGTGTGCTGAACCAGAAAGGGCGACTCTGGAAAAGCCGGTATCTTTTTGCGGCTTTGAAATCCAACAGAACAGCTCTGAGCGTGGCGGAGGTTTTAGACTTCATCAGCATAGCTATGAGGAGGAGCTCATCAAGAAATGGGAGGTTCATCAAAGCTCATCACAGGTGGACTTCAAACTTCCTCTACCTGAAGAAGAAGCAGAATTTGTCAAGTCTGAAAACTTGGACTTGGTGCGCCGTGCGCAAGCTTGCACTGCCTTGCTTTGGCTTGCGACTCGAACCAGACCGGAGCTGTCTGTGGGTGTCGCTGCTATGTCAAGACTCTGCACGAAGGCTCCAGAGATTACCATCAATCTGGGCTTGAAGATGATGAGCTACTTGAAGCGACCATCACATGGAATGATCTATGCTGACCAACCAGGTCCAGTTCATGGAGCACGTGGTCAACTGAGCAAGCCAAGATGTGTGCGTACGGTAGAGGCTTTTTCTGACATCTCCTACGCGTCAACGAAGGGGTACAAATCTCTTCAAGGCCAAGTCTACTACTATGCTGGTGCACCGGTGATGTGGAACACTAGCAGGCAACCATTTCCAACTCAATCAACTGCCGAAAGTGAGCTGGTCAGCCTTTGTGAGGCACTGGTTGGTGGCAGAGCTACAGCAGCTTTGATCGCAGCCATTCGAGATGAACCTCCTGAGAAGTTGGTCAAGCGACTTTGGGGAGACAATGCTGCGGCCATTAGCTTAGCCACAGGTGAAGGCCAAGGGAGTTGGAGAACGAGGCATTTGCGCATCAGAGCGGCGATTTTGAGATCTGCGCTGCGCCACAATGAGTGGGACTTGGGACATCTCCTGGGTCGTGAGCTGGTGGCGGACTCCTTCACCAAGATTGTCACTGGCCCTGCGTTTGAGAAGGCGCTGCAAGATCTTTGCATAGCCTCTGATGAGCTCAAGGCGCATGGCGATGGAGCGGGCATGCGACATGATCAAATGAATGCAAAAATAGCGATGTTGTTGGGAGCAACGCTGTTGTCTGGCGCTGCTGCAACAAGTGATGAGGAGGGTGATGACCAGTTGTCCTGGCTTTGGGTCGTTGGCTTAATCCTGATGTGCGTGGGAGCAGTCTATGTGAGCGACAAGATGGTCCGAAGTGGCATGTGGCTCTATAGAAGACTGATAGGGGCATCGGGCAGCCAAGTTGATGTGATGTCCAAAGGACGGCCACCGTCACCTAGCATCAGTATGTTGCAGTGGAGCAGTAGCAGTGAGGATGAGAGAGAGCGAAGGGCAGAAATGAATGCACAGAGGGCCGCCTATGCGCAACAGGCTGATGTCGATGAACTTCGGGCCATGGTGGCGCAAAGTCGGCGTATCCAAGAATATCCCCACAACAAAATGCATGGCAGAACTCCCGAGATGTATGAGGACACGTCTCAATTGCCGAGACGACGCAAAAAGAAGGCGGAGAAGAAACAACGGGATCCAGAGGCTGAAGAAGCGGCAGTAGAAAGGGCACATCGTGATTTGATGAATCACCTGGGAAACATTGGTGGAGGACCATTTTCACGGCGGAGGTCATCACGATCGGGCTCTGGCGGTGCTGCAGCATCTTTTGCTCCTGGGTCGATGGAATTTGGCTACGGAGAACCGAGCTATGTTGCAGCTTCATCAAATCAGAGCGCATTACGTTCGGGCTCTGGAGTTGCAGCTTCATTAAATCAGAGCGCATCACGTTCGGGCTCTGGAGTTGCAGCTTCATCAAATCAGAGCGCATCACGTTCGGGCTCTGGCTTTGCATCTTCATCAAATCAGAGCGCATCACGTTCGGGCTCTGGCATAGCATCTACTTCAAATCAGAGTGCAATGCCATCGGGCTCTGGTGGTGCTGTGGTGGCGTCTGTGGGAGATGAGCGGCGTAGTGAAGGGTCCACTAACCGGTGGAACGAATTCCAACATGAACACAGCGGGCGTAGCTGGGGCTCTGACAAGTTCAGAGCTGAATACTGGAAGTATAGAGCCACAGGGCAAAAGCCAAAGTAGCTTAGGGATAAATTCGTGAAGATCAATCCGAATGCCTTGGGTCAATTCAGCCTATTTTCTTTTGGCATCATATTTTGATATTTTTCTCAGTACTCCCTGAGAAAAAGGGGGAGTCTGAATGTGATTGCAGGTTGACGCGATTTGCCATGTGCTTGGCAAGTGTAGTATCTGATCTTATCACTCGTGAGGCATTTCAATTCGAGACCAAAAAGGCCTGTGCCTTGCCCTGTTGAACTAAGTACGAAACGCTTCGTAGAAGCTTTTAGTGTCTGTGTCTGAACTGCGATCTACTAGTACTAAAAAAAAAAAATCCATTTGACGGTCCTTCCTGGACTGAATGAGTTCCTCCATCTTTCTCTGTCATGGAGCATCTTGCCGCTTAGGTTGAGCAGCTTTGGAGATCATCAGAACAAGCAAATACTCATGCGTACGACATGGGATGTATTTCACACTCACCCACATCAGATTCGGCTGTGACTGCCAACCTGTGCAAAGAACTACTGGACCATATTCCTTGCTCGAGCGTCCAGATTTCTTGTACTCACATCCTTAGCTTCAGGGAGATTATTTCCCCTTCTGTGAGTACATGACAGCCTTTCCAAAATCCAAACACATTCCTCAACCAAGGCAAAATGTGGAAGACTGAAGAGAACAACCAAAGGGGTAAAACCGAAAGCGCCACTGGAAGCACTCCCAAGACATCTTTATGAATGAAAGCTGAAAGTCCAACCACCTTGCCATCTCTCAATAGTAGCTGAAAGACCTCTGCCTTTGTCACTAGCCGCGCACGGTCCGACACCTGGGATGGCAACTTTGGGCCTTCATAGAGGAAAGGCAGTGGGAACTCACTCGGTCAGTTTGTGAACCCGTCGCCTCTGCCACTTTCTCCACCATCTGGATCAGTGCATAGGTCAAAGCCATTCCAGGAATTGAATCTTTAGTCCTCGAGCTCAGGTGATGTTGGGATAAAGGATTGTCAAAACTGCCTACGACCCTCCCTACACAGCCCCAACTTATCAGAAGGTAGTCGGTAGTGCCCTGTTTTTTTACTGTCTCTAGTTGCTGCTTTCAAACATTATATATTATGGCAGTCAATTGAATCGTCATCCCAAACAAGATAGAAAGTGGATTGATTCTTTTGAAACCACCAACTAGATCTAAATATATATACAGTATAAATGTTGATGTTTCGCTCGTAGATGATCTCATGCATATGCGAAAGGGCAAGCCACCCATCAAATATAAAACGGGGAAGCCTTCTTGAATAAATCCACACAAGGCGCGGAAATGAATTTGTCCCACGATATCCATCTATAGAAGATATCCAAAATCGGGAATTGGTTTTCTATTGGCTGCAGTTTCACTGATCATTGGTTCCACCCAGCAAAAGTCCTGTAAGTCCTTGCTCGCGCATGGCAGGACAGCTTTGAAACCACTGCAAAATCCAGATCAAAACGATCAATCAACCAATTCATGTCGGACGAACTGTTGCGACCTCAGATAGGCACCACCGGGCAAAGAACAATTTCACCACACAACCAACAACAGCCAAGGTTGCAGAACAGGAGATGCAAACAAAACTCCCAAACAGTTGCAGCTGCAATTGTTTTTTCCAAGATGCAAAGCAACGAAGCAAGTTCACCATTGGTTTGGCCAGCATGGAGAGTATCATCTCTAAAGTGAGTCTCCGAATCGTCCTAGCAAAGGCTGTTTTCATGTGACAGTGTACAAACATGTTGCGTTCCCATAACATAATCCAACAACACAATCATCCAACATCATCCAACAAACAATCTTAACAGTCTTTACATCATCCAACAAACAATCCCAACATCATCTGAAACCAAACACAAAACCATCAGAACCCCATCAGTGGTTCCTGGTTCTTCAAGAAGTTAATGCCTGCCGTGGCCTTGGCAGAGTTACCACCACAGAACGCCGCCTCAAGAGCCACTGCTGAATTGGGTGGCACAGTGGCAACCAGTGATGGGAATACGGATATTGATATGGCTGATATGCAGCGAATATGGTTGATCTGGATAATATATATATATATACATATATATAATATGTTTGATATGATTTTATAAAAATGGGGTCCCAAACAGCTGCATTTTTTGCCTTGGATGCGAATGATTGAACCAAACATACCAACCCTGCCTTCTCAAGCACCAAAATTCGTCCTCCTCGTTCCAAGACCTGCATTTCGAAGGTTTCATTGTTTTGGGAAAAAATGATGCACTCTCTGCTGCATCTCATTCAAGTTCCGCAAGTCCATTTATGGTTTTCAAACCGTAATTCCGGCGTGTGGAAGATCCCAATGCTCATGTCCAGGAACCATAACTGGAATTGTCAAAATGATTTTGAACACAAATCAATATTGCCAGTTACGTGCCGTAAATTCAACCCATTTTAACCACCAAAATCAAATGTTCATGGTTTCGTTTGCCCAAACGCACAAAAATTAGCAGCCTGATTGGCAACGACCATTCCAGCAAACCCACCACCAACAACCACGACATGGCTGGCAGGAAATAAGGCCATGTGACATTCTGTCAAGTTTCGCTGGGCGACCAAAAAAACATGAAAACTCGGTTGGAACACAAGACCAAATACAAAATGTGTCACTCTGATTATGTTGGAAAATAAACAAAGCAGTTAACAGTCTCATTTTTTTGCTACATGTGTTAGGAGTTGCCCACAATTTTTTACTGAAATACAAATAACTATATAATGATTTTTTTGTTCATGATTTGTTTAGTTTCAATTAAAACCATGCACAAATTTCGCACAAACCAATGCTGTATTTTTACATTCCAAAGCAAACCATTTTGAAGATTTCATTGAAAACATTTTCAAAATAAAATATTACTGTAAATACTTGTTGGGCACTGCCGGTTGCAAGGAGCAAATGCCTGCAAGCACGTGGGCGAAAATTTGTTGGTTGTTTGTTGTGATCAAACTAGGAATGATATGATGTTCTCAAACCCACGACGACCCTTGTAGCATTGAGAAAAAACGTTTTTTATCCCCTCCCAGTGGACTTGCAACATGCGTACAACAAAGTGCAAGCAGAGAACTTGCAAGAACTGCGCAATGATTTGTTATGTACAATTGACGTGGTGCCAGGGCATCCTCCTTATATATGTTCAATGTGTGCGCATAGCTCAAAGTGGCTGCATTGCGGAAAAAAATTTTGAAGATGCAGCGATTCAATCCTGGAAATTTCAATGCCAAATTACACCATGTCGAACACGAAGACTTCACACGTGCCAGTAGCCACCTGGTGAAGGGATTCCTATAGGTAAACACCGCCATCTTTTGATCCAGTTGAGTCAAAACCATTTGTTGGTTGTTCAAAAATTGCATCATTTTGTACAATGTGGATGCAAAAGGACTTCGAAAAAATATGACATTTGCGTTTCATGACAAGGAATAAAATAAGTTTCAGCGCGCGTTCTTTCAAATTTATAGCTTCCAAATTTAAAAATTTTCCCACACTCTCTCACATCGCACAAGAAATCCGAGTGCAGGAAAAGTAGCCCACCAGCTTGTGTGAGCTACTAAAAACTTCCTGTACAGAGGTCTACCAAAAGGATGGGAACCTCAGTGACGACACCAAACACGACCGACGGTAAAGGGATGAAAGGTCCTCAACCACCGTGGGGTGCAGGGGAGCACGACCCAACACTGTCACCCGGTGAAACCTAGGGTCGCGCCGGGACTGCGCTCCTCACCGTCCTCCCCCAACCGGGGAAGCCCACCAACCGAACCAACTGCGCGCGTCCAAGTGCGATAGAGCCGCGGCATACCAGGTAGCTTAAACGCGTTCAGTACAGAGTCATCAATTGTGCACCACTTACCCTCATACCAGGAAGGGGGGGGGCAACACACCGGTATCGTAAATGAACTGCCACAATGGCTCAAGCGCAGTGATTCCGGACCAACCGGTACCACCGCAGCTCCCTCAACCACCCAACTAACGTACCAAAAAACGCATCATGCACCTGGGGACCAGCTTTGAGGCCAACGAGTCTGGCGCCCCTACCGACCACCTGAAAGCCAGCTGGGTCCGGGCAAACCCTTCTGGGCCGATCCACTTCGACAAAAGCTTGAGCGATGGCAATGTGCATGCCGGCCAACCCGACAGCCGCCTCCTTATCGGCATGACAGGACATGAACAACTTTTGATACAGCGCATGACGCGCATGCGCAACCACCACTTTACGCACCTCAGCATCAGCGTAGCTGTTGAAGGTAGCCAAGAGCCTTGCATTGCCAGTATAAGAGTGGCAACATCCTGGTGCGCCCTCACCCACCGAACAATATAATTCCCCCACTCTCTCTCACGCGTGCGGGCAAAAGTACCTCCAAAGGTCTTTCGCTCAGTGGTAGACGCAGGAGTTTCGTGGCAAACCTCACCACCTGAAAAGTATCATAGAAAACAGTGACACAGTGACACAGGAAAAAAGAAACCAACGCATCCGTGATCGCCAGCAACTCCGCCAGACAGCTTGATTGATCCAAACCGCGCACAAGCCCCGACCAAACCACCTCACATGGACCTGGACTTCGTGCCAAAATCACGGAGCCACCCGCAACAGTGAGCATCGGAGTACGGGGTGACAAACATCTCCCATCGGTGAAGACACATTGCCTCTGACAACGGACGACGGACTCTTTTTTCCTCTGGGATGGCCGTTCATGCACTGTGGCACGGTCCTTTATATGAAATATGCAAGCATAGGCCACTAAGGGGCAACGAGCACATTAATTAAATTACGCAAAAGCATGCAATTTAATTCGTCACCATGGAACTGACAACGGACAACCGACGACTCAACCTCCAAAGGCCCACCCAGACCACCAGCGCGGACGGCTCGTCCCACACCATTAGGCCCATGTATACTCCGGCAGGACTCTATCCCCCAGTAGCGCCAGAAAAGAAACCCACAGTTCTGACAGCGCCCTTACAAAAATTCGCGCGATGAAGCCTGGAGTTGTCCATACCACAAAGCTTCAGGACTTCTACCATGATGGAACGTTCCAAGGGACCTAAAAGAAGAACCACTTTCCGATCCCAAAATAAGGATCGCAAATCAAGCAGCCGGGACCGCAAGGTGAGAGCAAGCAACTAATTTAACCAAGCCATTCCAAACCAAATGAAAGAAAAGCAGAACAAAGAGGGAAAAACTAAAAGCAAGCAAGGGAGTCAATCCGCAAGAATGAAAGGAATGAAGCAAGCAGGAAGCGTAACTTGAAAATTGCCCTTCAATGAAAACTCTGGAGCGCGGAAACTGGTTCGAAGAGGTCATAAAACATCACTCCGCTTTCATTGAAGGGCGGGTCGCACGTTATGCTTCACCCGGCTTTAGTGACAACCGTACGTCGAGATGCAGAGAAGGCCCGCACATGCGAAGCCTGATTTCAATTGACTTTCCAACCCCAATAATGGAACCTGAAAGCGCACATGTGGTATCAGCTGTCTCCGTTCACTGGCTCCAATGTGGCGATTGCGATGCAGCACGACCCAGGCAACATTCACCAATCCTTCGTTACTCCACGCTACTCCGCTACTCCGTGCTATGTTTAAATTCAATTGCCCAATGTAATTGACACGATATCGAAACGATGGCGGAGTAAGAAAGCCTTCAATACTTTACCTTCCCACATCTTTCCCTAAGCACATTCTTCTCCATCCCGTTTTAAATTTATATTAGAGAGGAGGCCCGCACATGCGAAGCCTGATTTCAGTTGACTTTCCGGCCCCAGAAATGGAACCTGAAAGCGCACATGTGGTATCAGCTGTCTCCGTTCCCTAGCTCCAATGTGGCGATTTGCGATGCAGCAACACCCAGGGGGGCTGAAAACTTCGGTAGGAGTCTAGAGGGGCAAGGGGGCCCAACAAGGGGCAGCAGAGTATTTAATACAATCATTCAAATGGAAGCCGGCCACCTGCGCGAAAACCCACAAACTCTGCAACAGCAAGAAATACCTCAAGCAATGACCTAAGGGCTGCAAAAGGCTGATGGGCCTTCTTTTAGCGGCAAACAATCAAGCCACAAGACGCAACGAAATAATAAGAAGCTAACTTCAAGTGGGTTCAAGCAGCAACCGATATGCACCCCGCTTGTCTTAACTGGAAACAAAATCATCTACAAAACAGCTTGCTCCGACGGACCCAATTCTGGGTCCGGAAAACCTTCTCAAAACCGGCTTCTCTCAAAAGGGCTCCCTAGTTGCCCTTCCGGTCGCTATGAGCCACAAAGTTTCATTGACCAAAACTTTGAGTTTCTTTTTTTCCTCTGGTATGGCCGATCATGCTCTGAGGCTCGGTCCTTGCATGAGACGCATGATTTTTTTCCCTCCGGTCAGGAAGACAACGAAAGGTCGCGTTTACTGTACACTGTTGACTAACCCAGCCTCTCCGAGTCCACTCACGAGTACTCATTCACATGCCCAAGTTCAGAGAAGGAGCAAGTACCAGAGGGCGTAGCACGAGCAGGAGGAATATGACATTGGTGGCCAGGTGTCTTGTGTCCCTCCCCATTGCGGGGAGCAGCCCAGTCGCGACGACAGCGCGGTCACCCAGACCCAGGTGAGTGACCATCCGTAACCAGCCACTAAAATCTTATGCGTCTCAGGGTGGATATGACTACCGTACCAAGTCAAGAAGAATACCGTTCCAGATACTATCAAGCATGATCAGCACCTAGTTGTTGTGCCCATCGACATACTTGCAGCAGCTATAGACACATCATCAAAATATGCACCGTCTCGACGGCGCCAAGCTGAAAATATCTGCAGAACTGTTCAGGTGCTCCCAGAGTGTCTTCGTCTCACCAAAGTACTGGGGAGGACCACTTCTTGGAGTCCAAAAAGCCAATGTGTTTACGGCCCCGAAAATGAGATTGCTGCAGTGACCTTTTTTGCGAAAAATGGCGCAGCTTTAACAAAAAGCAAAACTTTTGCAAGTGTAACGGAATGGCAGGATTCCGGGGAACACGGTTGCTGATTGAAGGTCTCTAGCCGCCCCGCCTGCATGTTGCCAATCTTTGCCAAAGCGCCATGTTGTTTGGAATTGTTTGGGTGTTGTTGTCGCAGGCTTTCGCAACATGGCTTGGGTGAGGTGCTGATTCCGCTGCGACATTGCTGGCGGGATGCTTTTTTCTGTGTTTGCGTTGGCAGTGAATCGTGTTTGTCACGATTGGGCGTCGCACTGCTCAGTTTTGTTTTGGTCTCTTGATGCGTTGTTTGTTTTTGGGCTCCCCCCCATTCGCCCCCCTAGACTCCTAACGCGGCAACTTTGCGGGTCAGGTTGTGTATGTCGCCCGGAGTTCAGTATCATCCGGTTAAAGAATAATAGTATATATTTAAAACCGGATGAATCCTTTGTTTACATTGGGGGAAGAGTTTCGATTTCATGACTCCAGCAGATTCCGTAAGAAGGCTGGAGATGCAAAACTTCCGTTTTACCACAGTTTTGTGCCAGTTTTGATGTCGTTAGCTGCAGAGTCTTGCCGGAGTCGGGCGGAGTCGGTACACCTGCTGAA